TGATGGGTCAAGTTTGAAATGAATAAAGGTTCTCGAACGGAAACCACATTCACTGTTAGAATTTCATTGGGTTCAAGGAAAATTTTCCTGCACCTTTTTTTTGCTACAATGGTATAATTGATTCACAATTGGACGCAATAAATATTAGAAAATGAATTGATCATTTCAAAAACAATTTTTTCAATGAAATTCTACTGGTTTCTGGCCAGCTTTACTAAATTGGAGCATAAATCACAGTGGTGTAGTGGTTAGCATTTCTACCTTGCAGCACTGGAGGTCCCTGGTTTAAATCCCAGCCAGGTCACTATCTGCAAGGTGTTTGCATGTTCTCACTGTGCTTGTGTGGGCTTGCTCCAGTTTCTTCCCGCACTCCAAAGACATGCTGGAAGGTTAATTGGTTAATGTCTAAATTGGCCATTGCATGTGAGTCAGGGACCTTAGATTGTAAGATCCTGGAGGGCAGAGACTGATGTGAATGTGCGATATGTAAAGTGCTGTGTAAATTGTCAGCGCTATATAAATACCTGTAATCAATAATCAGAGCCTGGTGCTTTAAAGGAGAACTATGAGGTGAGTGATTTTCACTCACCTCATAGTTCTAGCCGACCTGTGACAATGAGACTGTCACAGTTCGGCTCAGTAGATCGGGAAGTGAGCGAACACATACCGGCGTTCGCTCACTTCTCGATCCTGTCACTGCAGAGAGCCGTGACAGGGTAGTGGCGGGATTCCCCCCTCCCCGATCCTCCAGCGCTGATTGGCAGAACGGACGGGGCGGGTACAGCTGCCTCGGCCACTAGATAGGCAGAGCCAGCTGTCACTCACACAGCTGGGCGGATCCAGACATAATTGTCGGGATCCGTTTCAGCTGCGGCGTCTCAGTATACCGCGAGCTGTGAGCTTTGGGTGACGGGAGGGCGCTAGTTTGTGTCCTCCCGTTACCCTTAAGAGAACTATGGGGAAAAGCCCTAACCCCATAGTTCTCCTTTAAGGACAATATGACAGCACCTGACTAGTAGGAATGTGTGTGGGCTTGGTGTCAACTGAGTTCACCCAAGTCTGTGAAAAACTATAGGCGACACGTCAGTGGCTGGGGCATTCCACACCCCTTTGTTATGTGGGCGTGCTAAATGCTGCAGCTGATTGAGCACCAAGCCCACATAAATTCAAACTGGGCAGTGATCAAATCAGCAAACAATTCAATAGCTTACACAGATTTCCCTAATTTCTATAGTCAGACTTTTCAGTTCAATAATATACAAAGGTAAAATAAGATAGAGCAGAAAAATGCATACGACATCAAATTAAGAAAAACATTAAAAAGAAAAAACTACAAGAACAAATTGCTCATTTTATTATCCCGCAAGTCAGCACAGCAATCATGTCACTGCACTTGTTTCTTTCTGTGTCCCATCCTTTCCTCCTTTCTTTACACTGCAATGACAGGCCAGGCTTTTTCATAAAGGAATTTGCAACTTCGCCCAGTGAGGTGGAGTCTGGCTGAGTCATAGATAAAACTCTTCGATCAGAGTGTTACATAGGCAAGCCCTTCACATCTCCCTTCTCATGCATCAAAGGTGTCCTGCTGTCACTCATGTATTGCTGGGGAAACAACAGATATGGCCAGCTGGGTCTTGCCGGCCAAGACAATGAAAAGATTCACTTTACAGAGAATGGTGGCTTTGAAGGAGGTTCTGGTGTCCAGAAAGTGGCATGTGGTGAGGCACACACACTGTTTCTCCTACAAGATGGCACCGTTCTGTCTTGTGGTCAAAACCTCTGTGGGCAGCTGGGCAGAAAGATTGCTGGAAGTGGTCCAGGTAAGAAGAACATCGATAAGAGATTGATTCATTAGATATTTGTTTCCAGATGTAACAAAGAAACCTATTTCCTCATTCAAAAAGTAATCAGTATCAGAGTAATCAGCTTGCTTTTTTTAGTGGGCTATTGTTTGTGTATGTTCATTTCATCAATGGTCTTATTTTCCTGAAGGCTGATTTTAATGACTTTGCTCAGTCCGGTGATTTTGCTGTATCCTCGGTACTATTCAGATATGGGTTGGGTGAGTAAGTTTCATTTCCTAGCAGCAGTGACTCTAGTTTCACTTTCCTTTTCTGTTGAAGTCTAGCTGCAGACAAAGAGTAGCATGACGCATCTGTATTTAAACTGCACAAACAAAGCACACCCATGATCTGTGATGCTAGTCAGGTTCATTTACCAAGGGCTGGTTCACACCATAACATTGAGCTAATAAAAAAAAAAAAAAAAAAAGGATCTGTGCGTTTAGCACACAATATCACACCGCATATGGTATTGCCTGCTCTGTCATTCTGAATGGCACCTCAACTCATCTCCTGGTAGTGATGCATTGCAATGCCATTCAAGGCAGTACTGCAACAACTTGTGTTGCCATGCAGTGATGAAAAGTAGTGCATGCATTACTTTTTATCAATGCATGGCAATGCAACCCACATTATTTTGGTACTGCACAATGTGTGGCAGTGCAACACATGCCTGCCAGGAAGTGCGTTGGGGTGCCATTCAGAATAAATGGCAAAGCAATGCACCAGTGCACCTCACATGCCGTTACCACATGTGCTAAATCCACGGATCCCCTGTGTTTAGAGCAGCTTTATGGTATGAATAAGCCCTGGTCACATTATTATTACTAACTGAAGTTAGTGATAGCTTACAGTTCATTCACATCTAACCCTGCGTTGTGGTTGGACACTTGTTTTTCTGCCCGTTGTGATGGTTAAGGGAATATAGCCCAATGGTGCGCGCTGAGAGACCACTCCTGAAGCTTGACTTTAACTTAAAAAGGACAGTCTTTATTCATTCAAAAGGTCAACAATCCATGAACTTCACAAAACAACTCGCCCTTCTTCAGCATAAATGAAGCATAACAGTTAATTGGACTCTCATCAAAACATCGTGTTTTGGTCTCACCGACATCTGGCTGTCCCATACACTCCCAGTGTGATAGTGCCAGGACTTTACCGTATTTCTCTGTAAAGACAATCCTCAGTATTGCTCAGCAGCTTTCCTCAGCTCTGAGCAGTTCAGTATTCACCCTTAATGGGTCACTGTCTCTCTAGCTGGTATCTCAGGGTCCCCAACCCCATCTTGGCTGTGTCACTTGTGCTCGCGCACGCAGCAGAGTCTACCTGTGGCCATATACCCCTACACACTCACAACTCTCCTCTGAGCTCTGGGCTGGCTTCCTAATGAGGCTGCTCTCAGCCACCTGATCAGCCCAGGCTGGTCATTGGGAACACCTGCTCCAGGAGTGGAGATTTCTTCCCACCCAGAACACTAAAGGTGGCCATACACTTTACAACCATCGCAAGACCTTAGTCTTGCGATGGTTGTAAAGTAATTAAAAAAACGTACGATCTGCCCATCTTGGAGAGGCAGATCGTACTTGCGATCATCGAAAGCCCGACCCCCGTGGGATGCCCGTTCGGCATTTGTCTCCCGAGCACCGTTCAAACCAGCCGAAAATCGTACGATTTTCGGCTGGTTTTCTAGCGTGCTCCCTAGACAAAAGACGTGCGACCGTACAGTAGAAACGGTCGCACGTCTTCATTCACACTGCTCGATTCTCGTACGATCGCGGGATTTCCCGCGATTCTCGTACGAGAATCGAGCAGTGTATGGGCACCTTAAGAAATCTCCAGAGCTCCAGATCCCAGTTACAATCCAGAAAAAATGGAAGAAACCGAAAGGCCAGCTTCTTCCCTGCAAATCTATTTATTTTCTGGAACCTCTCAGCCCCTCCTTGCTAAAGGTGGCCATACCAAGTCATTTAAAAAACTTACGATCCGCCCATCTTGGACAGGCAGATCGTACTTGCGATCATCGCAAGCCCGTCCTGCTGATGGGCGGGCTTTCGATGACCGCAATGCTGAAAGGGCAGTGTGCGCTTGCGCACACCTGCCCGTGCGGCATTTACCTTACGATCATGCTACAAACCAGACGTAAATCGTACGATTCACGGCTGGTTTTCGAACATGCTCGAAATACAAAAGTCATGTGACCGTACAGTAGAAACGGTCGCACGCCTTCCATACACTTTGCGATTATCGTACGATCGCGGGATTTCCCTTGTGATTGTATTAGGGCTGTCCCATAGAATGAATCACACGCTCCTCAGTACCTGGAAGGATGCTGCGGGTAATCAAGGGAAAGGTAATTGTATGCTGGGGAGGGTGGAGGATTAAATGAACCTGTTGCTTTGTCCTGGACAGGCTCTCATTTTACATCCTGTACTTGAAAAATGGCAGCTGGAATATGAGCATTTACAACATGAGCTCTATTTTGTAACTAAATGAGAATCATTATTTTTACAGTGTTTGCATTAAATGTTAATAATGTTAATTAAATATATATATATTTTTTTTTATTAACAGAACCTTTCCATGCTTTGGAAGCACAGACTATTATTGACATGAGCTGTGGGTCAAACTACTCTGTAGCAATATGTAGTGAAGGAAACATATTTACATGGGGCAATGGATTGCATGGAGAACTTGGGTCAGGGCAGATGCCTCAACAATGTCCTATCCCAAAGTAAGTTATGTTTCAGCAGACTTATTGAAAGTTGTGGGACTGTCATTAAAGAAGATCTATGAGGTGAGTGATTTCCACTCATCCTCATAGTTAGAGCCGACCTGTGACAAAGAAGCTGTCACAGGTCGGCTCTATCGATCGGGAAGTGAGCAGAAACATGCATGATCTGCTCACTTCTCGATCGTCTCCCTGCAGTAAGCGGTGACTGCCAGTCACCGCTGCCCGCAGGGATTCCCCCCTTCTCCGATTCTCCAGCGCTGAGTGGAGAAACGGACGGTGGAGGGGCAGGCATAGCTGGCTCTGCCTCTAGATAGGCAGAGCCAGCAGTCATTCACGTAGCTGGGTGAATCTCAACAGTAATGTCAGGGTCCGTCCCTGCTGCGACGCTCACAGTATATCGCGGGCAATCACTGAGCTTTGGGTCACGGGTGGACGTTAGTATATGTCCTCCCGTGACCCTAAAGAGAACTGTGGGGAAAAACACTTACCGCATAGTTCTCTTTTAAGTAAAACTTTGTGTGCCCAAGTTACAAATTTTCTATTATACAATATAATTCCCTGGAGACTTATCTTGTAATTCATTTTCACATAGCAAGGTTTCATCGGGATTCCTGTATAGACCATATATCATACAACAAATTCTATAAATTAGATTTTATTGTGAAATTATAACACTGTAAGAATTGAAATTGTAGGGAACAAGTTCCAGATGCTAATGCTCTATATTCTTTGACATTACAGAAGGATCACAGGCTTTTCTGAAATAAAAATCATACAAGTAGCTTGTGGACATTATCATACGATTGCTCTTTCAGAAGGTAAATAGCACATGAAGTCAGAGATAATGTTTATAGTGTGCTACATTCGGGCCTAAGAAATAAGCTGTATAAAATAAGATCTACAAAGGTGCACAACTGACAATGATTGTATCCCTCCTACTCAATCCAAAATTGTTTTAAAAAAATAGCTTTAGATATACTTTAAATATATATGGGAACTGAAATTGAAAACAACTTCTACATATTCTACAACATCTAAGTGACATCTTTAGTGACACATTGATTTATTTGTATCAGGGAAGCTAATGCTGAATTCTGCCCTTGATTTCCTTTTTTTTTTTTTTTTTGAAACGCGGTGTGTTAGCGGGAGACTCCCAGAGCGCCCGGGAGAGTTTTTTTTTTTTTTTTTTTAGACAGCAGTGTGTACTCATGGGGAAAGAATGATGTTGGTCAGCTTGGCATTGGATATCAAACATCAAATCATGCCAGTCCTCAACTTGTAAAGTACCTTAGAGGAGTCCCACTGGTCCAGATCGCTGCAGGTGGTTCCCAGAGTTTTGCATTGTCTATGTCAGGAATGGTCTTTGGATGGGGAAAGAATAATGTTGGACAACTAGGATTCAGAATAGGCTCCCAGAAAGGTAATTTTCAGTTAGTGGTGTCTGAGTATATGTGAAACTTTAAGGAAGCAGACTAAACTGTACTTTTCTTTTTATTCAGTAGGAATATTTAAACCATACGCAGTGAGCTCCTTGAGAAATCTCAGTGTTGTTTACATAAGCTGTGGGGATGAACATACGGCTGTCCTAAGCAAGGTAAAATCAGGGCTGCTCAGTCAGTTAATTACTGTATAGCAAAGAAGAAGAAATAAAGGGTAATATATATTTTAAATGATACACAAACTTCTTCCGTCCAACCAGGACTGTATTCACCTGTATGAGCCAGTGCCTAGGGTAGCAAGGTAGCAACAACATTCCCAAATAATTTTCCCTCCCTTTGGTCTGCCCATGGCATCTCGGGTTTACACTAAGTTGCTAGTAGCTGTCCAAGCTCTGCTTCGCTTTCAGGGTATCTCCATCATAGGATATCTGAACGATCTCTTAGGCTCTGTTCACACCTAGGCGTATCGAATATATGCGATTCGCGGTAAACGTGCGTTTCCGAGGGCTACTTGGCTGTATACCAATGGAAACGCGCAACAATAACGCCGCAAAGAAGCTCATGTACCTTTTCAGGCGTAGGCCGTTTTGTAGCGCGTTCAGACGGGGTGAAATACGGCAAGGTGTGAACCATACCCATAGAAAACAATGGGATTTTCATGTTTGAGCGTTTTGTAGAGCGTTCGTAGATCGTTGAACGCGCTACAAAACGTACAGGTGTGAACCAGGCCTTACAAAAATAGCAAGTGGTCCAGACTCTGTCAGACAGTGTCCTATGGACTGGTCCACCATTTTGCATCTTTGTTGCTGGCTTTAACAGCTTGGATGTTAAAGCCTGAGTCTTGAGGGGCAGGGGCCTAGCAGATTCCTCACTACACCCTTAAAGGCTATGAAGTCAACTTCTCGCAAAGTCTACCAATGCACCTGTACAGTCTACTTTGCATGGTGCAAGGCTACACACCAGATAGTACTCCATGGGACAAATCCTGTCTTTTCTCTAATCTGGTCTGGATCAGCATTTGGTTTTGAGTACCATCAAGGGCCAAATCCTCCTGTATGCTCCCCAGTGATAGTGCAATCTCAAACTAGTTCTGTCTGCCTTTCAAAAGCCGCTCTTTGAACCCATCAAGGATTTTTCCCTTTCTATCTTACTCACAATGTTGCCTTCCTCCTTGCTATCACGTCTGTGAAGCGAGTCTTTTAGTTAGTGACCTTATCCTGCACAGAGCCTTTTCTAGTGTTACACAGGTAAAAGTTCATCTTGAGCCCTAAGGATTTCTTTGTTCCCAAGGTGGTTTCATTTTTCCACCTTAACCAGGACATTGTTCTTCCATCTCTCTGTCCTGCACTGAAGCATTTTAGGGAAATATTTCTCCACTGTCTGTGCAAGTCTACCTCTAAGCTACAGCTTCTTTTAAGCAATTACAATCACTCTTTGTCACTCCTGAAGGTCTCTGTCAGGGAGAGGTGAATTCAGGGGTGTGGTGTTACCCAGAGTGGACGCTGGGTGACACCCCCACTGGAATGTCATCACGCATGGGCGTGATGTCATCACACATGCACGCAACATCACGCACGAGCGTAATGATGTCACGCGTGCTTACCTACCGGCGGCCACCTTGGTGATCTATTCCGGGCAAACAGAGAAAGGGACATTCACCCAGCGGTCTAGGGTATGCCGGTCCCCTCCTCTCTTGCAAATGGGCTCTTGTTCCATGACCGAGTGGCCAACTTTTCAGAGGGGGTGACACCAAAATGATTGTCGTACCTAATCGTGTGGAAATGTGCAAAACAAACATTTCCATGCAAGTCAATGGCAACTATTCACAAAAAGATGTAGGAGATATTCTGAGGTGGATGCCACGCGGTTTTGGTCCCACAGACATCTCTATGCATGGAAAAACCAGCGTTTTTAAAAGCAAAAACACGTGAAATTCCGCAAAAAAACCTAGCCTAAATTCCAGTTAATCCTAAGGGGAAAAAAAGAATTTGCTCTAACACAAAAAAATCCTTCCTGTTCTCCTAAGGCAGTCGGATATGTCTCTGGATCAAAAATCTACAATGCAATTTATTTTAAATATCAATTGTAGGGATGCACCGATACCGTTTTTTCGGTTACGAGTACCTATATTTTTTTGTCTGGTACCCGCCGATACTGAATACTGATACCAGAAGTCCCATTAAGGAAGCTGAGTGGCATGTAATGGCTCGCCGCCCAGCTTCCTGGTGACGAGGAAGCCTAGAGCTGGCTTTCTGGCCAATCAGGAACCCAGGGGGCGGGTAATGACTTGCCACCTGACTTCCTAATAGGCAGCATGGAGCTGGCTTCCCGGCCAATCAGGAAGCCGGGCAGCGTGTAACGACTCCGTGTAATTAAGTTCCGGTATCGGGATAGGCATCAGGAGCATTTGGGCGCGTACGAGTACTCGCCCAATTACTCGGTATCAGCACCGATATCAATACTTGTATTAGTATTGGTGCATCCCTAATTGATAGCCAACCACATTTTATGCATTTAGAAAAACAACCAGACTGTTTTGAGACAATCTACAGTACTGGCAAGAACTAGCTTCTGTGGAACTTTGTTCCACATTTGTACCGTCCTAATTGTAAAGAATTGTTTCTGAATGCGAATATTAAACCTCTTTTCCTCCAGGTACAAAGAAAGACTCTTTGTAATTTGCAATGAACTTAAAGTGAACAACTTTGTACCAAGTTTACTATATGGACCATTTATGTATTGATACATGATGATCATATTCCCCGTTAATTGCCTCTACAAGGGGGGAAAAAATTCAGTTAAGTTTTCTCATAACCAAGATTTTCAATCCCCCCTTATTAATCTAGTTGCCCCTCTCTGCACTCTCTCCATATTTTTGTGAACTGTACCCAAAACTGAACTTCATATTCAAGATTAACAGGGGTATTCACAAAAGGGTGAAGAGTTTGGGCAGGAGAAGTGAACAATCTAGGCCAAAATAGCTGATTTGAAACAATTCTCCAGATCAACTCACTCTCCAGTTCAGCTATGTTGTCCTAGATTGTTCACTTCTCCTGACTTCTCCAAACTCTTCACCCTTTTGTGAATAGCCCTGTAAATGTTTGTTTTAGATACAATATTCTCTCTCTCTCTCTCTCTCTCTCTCTCTCTCTCTCTCTCTCTCTCTCCCTCTCTCCCTCTCTCCCTCTCTCCCTCTCTCCCTCTTCCTGTATTTCAGAATTGCAGAGAGTGACACATTAGACATTTATTGCAATCTTTCTTGTAATCATGGTGCATAGTGATCTCATAATGATTTCTTTTTTGTAGGATGGCACAGTGTATACATTTGGAGATGACAGCTATGGACAGTTAGGCAAGAATGTGGAGGATAACACAGCAGAACCTCAGAAGATTGAAGAATATGAAGGACAGGTTTCGCAGATAGCTTGTGGAAGGTGTGGAGCAAACTATAAGATTCATATTTTATTAGAAATAGACACATTGTGGTATATAAAGAAAAGTGATTTATGCGGTGAGCCTTACTGTTTGCCATCTCTTACACCAGGTTCTTCTTTTTACAAGTCCCTTAACACAATAGGTCTGTAGTTTTTAAAAAAATTTCATTCTCTTAAAGTGAGCCCATAACCCTCAACCCCCTGCACTATCACCACCAACACTTACTCCTAAAATGAGCTTAACATTCATCTTCTTGAACACCTAGACTTAAAGTGACATTAAACCCTCAGATATTTTAACATAAACCAATACTGTAATGTGTGCCTTACTGTAATCCATGGTAGTTTCCCTTCTCCTTGCTGCTCTTCCTTTTAAATCCTCATGTCTTCTCATGCTTGGGGAGAACTTCCCTTTGCAGCTCAGGGCCTCTTCCTGTATTGCTGGCTCAGGTTACAAACCTATACACAGACACCATGTATCCATTCCTGAGACAAGGCAGTCTGCTGCAAAACAGAAGTTCTGCCCAGCATGAGAACAGATACAGATTACACATTACAGTACTGGTTTATGTTTAAAAATCTGAGGGTTTAATGTCACTTTTAGGCTTTACAAATGGGGCTTGCCTTTACTGAACTTCGTTAAAAAAAAACGAAATCAAGGAATTGCAAAAGGTTTCATTTTACGATGATTGTTGTAAATATGGGCAGAGGTTTCATGTCACCGCAATAGATTATAGATCTAACTGCGTATGACCAATGCTGGGATAATAGAGAGTGAATTCTAAATGGCACCTGCAAAATATCACCTAACTATTAATCGGTTTTATAGGTAAATAAAGCAATAATGTTGTTGAGCAGAACTGTGTTTTGTGGTTTCAGCTACCACACACTACTGTATGTCTTCACTTCTAACTGCATTGTGTCCTTTGGTCGTGGGCTGCAAGCAAAACCAGAAACATCCAGCAGTAATAAAAGTCAACCTCCACAGCAACCAGGGGCATTAGACATTAGTGGCCTTATCTGTCCAAAAGGTACAACACCATTGCTTTGTATCACACTAATTATATATACATTCCTAGTTCATCTCTTTTCAGGGAAAGTGCTATCTTTATTGCAACTGAGCCTAGGAATCTATCTTGTTTGTATGCTCTCAAATCACCATTTGTTCATTTGCATGCAGTTTTACACAAGGAAGTAGTGTAGGTATTTGGCTAATTTGTAATTTGAAGTATTAAAATTACATATATTATTGTTATAGGCCTCAGTTGTTTTAGAAAATCGATAAAAGCACAACACTACTAGAATTATCACAGTAGCTTACAGAAGAATAGACATCCTTGGATGTTTCCACATTTTGTACTGCTAGGATCTGGAATTTAAAATGGGTTTGATTTTAAGTTTCTTATCCACACAATATAGTCCATAACGTTAAAGTGAAAAAAAATCTACATTGTTTTAAAAGTGTCTTCCAGATAAAGAAACGGTATTGTTTCAGAGGTATTCGACCTCTTTTCTGTGTACGTTCTGTTGCAAGCAAATGCCTTGAGAAATTACATCAGTGGTTGTGTGCGCTTAAAGTGTCATATGATTTCAGAATAAATACAACTGTTTCTGGAAAACTGTGGAGTCAGGGATCCAGTTTCTGTCTGCTCCAGTGTTGATAAATTCCCCCCTTTGGGTATTATGCGTTGTTTTTAAAGTTTTTTGAAGAAATGGAAACGTGTAGTATTTGACATACAAATATTTAACGTATGCATGGCAATTAAAAGAATGTTTGATGTTGTCAGCAAGATAATAACACCATTTGTGGCTTAAGAGCCATTTCTTTTTGCATTACTTGACTTTGTAACGTTTCACTTTCAGACTTTGTGAACATCCATACAAAACGGATCTTTGCTGGAAACTATGTCAGCTTTGCAACATCTTCACTGAAACCACAGGTTTTGTTTTCAAACACCTTTACTTAAAGAGTAGACCAAACATTTTTTTTCAAATTTGTGATGAGTGGGGAAAGGTTAGAACCCCTGTCAGATTTTACTGCTATCTGGAGCACTATAGAAACATTTCCCCTCACTTTCTCTTCTGGTGACACTGTTTTACCACACAGGATGTGAGGGAAAATCTGTAACACAAAAACCAAAAGCTGACAGCTGAAGTTCTAGCAGATACATGTAACCATTGGTACTACAGACATTCCCATTGTAGCAATGGTTACATTTATCTGCTAATTTGCTCCATTTGTTCTCTGGAATTGTTATATTGTATCGCTTGTTACCGAGATGTTTGTATTTCCCATGATCCTCAGCTCCATTTAGTGGCCATAATGTGGCATTTTCCCAATTCACCATCGCCCATAACATTTGAAGAACATTTACATTTTGCCAAATCCTCACAACATCTGGTTAATTCACACAGAACAAATGTACATGGAGGTTTTTCTGGATAAATAGCTTTGCCATTTTCTATAAATATACCCCATAGTGTCAGTTCAACTGTTTACTGTTATATATATATACTACAATGATGTAGCCTTTAGTATTGACGATATTGATACATAGGTGTAGAATGGGATGATTTTTCCTTTTTTTTTACACAAAGGTGAACTTATTTTTTCATTCCTTAAAAATAATGAGTGCTAGAAGTGTCTGTAAAATCTCTCTGCTGATCAGGGATCATTCCCTTTGTAGGAATGTAGCTTTCACCATAAAAATACCACAGTAGAAGGTGGGGACACGCAGCTCCCTTACCTCCAATAATAGGCAACTCAGCTCCCTTAGTTTTCATTCTCAGTTAGAGATCTGCTTATGCGTGTTAACTTTTTTGTGTAAAAGTAGTTAAAATATTAGAATGAACTTTCTCTCCTTGTATGTGCACCAAGAACACATGACCAGACGGGAAGGTAAACTGCTTCCCTACTCTGCTAGTAGTGTTGTTCTAGCTATAATAATTTAGATTGGGTGAACTTTAGGTCCTTCTCTGTTGATTGACAGCAGCAGTGGGGGGTGCAATAGCCAGCCTGCTATTGGTTATTGCAAATCGAAATAGCTGCCTCGCTATTCATTGCCCTGCTATCTGTTGTGTTTTTTTCTTTGTTTTTTTTTTTTTATTCTGCCTGCGGCTAGTGGCTTGCTTCAGAATACAGAGAAAAAACAGATAGCAGGGGATCCCGGAAAGGTATACAGGGTAAACCTTTTTGGGATAAAATGTTTCTCTTGCGGGCCTCAGGGAGCCATTATCATATAGTGGGAGACTCCCGGAACGTCCGGGAGAGTTGGGATCTCTGGATAATCCCCCTTCTCCCACTGTACTGTATTCTTTCAACTAAAGTGTGCAACTGTACAAGGACACTAACAATGAGGACACAACCAGATTGCACTAGCTAGAGGGCAGTTTGGAGTCTTTTATCATATATGAGAGTAGATTACCAACTGTCAGCAACATGATGTGTAATTGGCCATGGCCGCCTTGCACACTGGGCCATGGCCGCCTTGCACACTGGGCCATGGCCGCCTTGCACACTGGGCCATGGCCGCCTTGCACACTGGGCCATGGCCGCCTTGCACACTGGGCCATGGCCGCCTTGCACACTGGGCCATGGCCTATGATGGTGATACAGGATTCTCGCCCTTCCTGTTGTGCCATCTTAGACAGGGACTGACATGGGTCACCCTTCATGAAATTCTGTTTTATTGTCATTGTATAAATGTATTTTTTCAGTAAAGTTCTCATGTTTATTTTTTAGAAGCATAAAACAACAACACTGATTGATAACTTACAAAAGATCTGCCGGCTTGACAAAGATATGGTAAAAGTGTGGACAGACGCAAATTATGGGCGAGAGAAGAATCAAGACGCCAAAAGGTCTCTGTAAATATACATTTCCTATGGGTTACAGGCTTCTGAAAGGCACTGATTCATGGACAGGCCACATAGGCTACTCCACTCTACCTAGCATTTTGAAATTTCATATAGTCACAGAATTCACATTAAAAAAGAACTCCAGGCCTTAGAAAAATTAGCCCTTGCAGTGGGGCAACCCCAGCACTGAAAGGGTTAACTGCTTGTTTTTTCTCTAGGGACTCAAATAAAGATGAAATATTCACCCAATCCTCAATCCTGCCTGGCTGATAGACCAGTCCCCGCAGTCTCTTCTACCTGGGCTCTGGCGGTCTAAGCACTGCTGACGTCTAATACAGTCCATTCACCTGTATTAGACGTGAGGATGCCAAGTGACATACCACAGCTGGATCGGTGGGGGAGAGAGGTGAGCGGTCAGTGCCACAGGACCAAGGATCAGGTGAGTGTATGTTCTTTATTTGAGCCCCTAGAGAAAAATGAGCAGTTAATCACTTTTCATAATTTTAATTTAATTTTTTAAATTTTTTTTAACTATTTTGTTGTTCTGTCTTTTACAAAATGGCATAATTATACCTTTTGTAACATTAAATGTTGTCCTTTTGCAGTATGGTGGTTTTAGTAATATGCCATTTTTGTCTTCTGTAACATAGCACCACTGGTAACTGGTTAATCTTATAACTTGCATTCTTTAGCATCAAACCGATAGAAACATTGGCGTCATCCTTGCTTTTGCAGCATGACACTTCTCAAGGGGTGGAGCTGCGGTAATAAGGCTGTGGTTCTAGTTGTAATAACCTGGTTGTAGCCTGGCTAGTGCATGCAGTGGTGATTAATGTGGCTTATTGTGTTTCTATTATTTCAGGCAAATAACTAAAATATTTTCTTCACCTGCTTGTCTCGCTGCAAGTTTTCTGAGACCCCGGTAAGTCTATAATAAAAATGACACATTAAAAATAATACTTACATTTCTTGACATGTGCCATGTTTCATTTTGTACTTTCGTGGTCATGAACAGGCCAGTGGGCTCTCATGAGAAATTCTGCTCTGGCTAATTCCCATCACTTTATTGTTCTGTTAGTTAAAGCTCTATTGAATACTTCTGCGTGTTACATGTTAGCATACTCGCTATCCATCTATACTGAATCAAAGATTTATATCTCCAACCTTTAGATCCTCTCCATCAGACACCTCTACAATAGTGGACCTCGACACTGCAAGTGAATTATTTACAAAACTATGTCAATGTAAATGGATTGTGGATATGGTAAGTGCATAAGGTCAGGCATAACATAAGCATTTGTAAAGATCTTAGCATCTTAGGCCTTGTTCACACCAAATGCAGACCAGATCCGGTCAGGTTTCTGCACACGCAGTGCAGTGGGTTGTGCCGCGTTTTAGACGCGTTTTGGATGCGTTTAGGGCCGGTTTTGGTAAAAAAAAAATTTTTTTAAAGTTTAACATGCACTTGCAGGCACTTGCATGCGTTTTTAATGCGTTTTTGCGTTTTAGATGCGTTTTTGATGCGTTCCAGATCCAGAGCAGGTAAAATAGGGCTTGCCGCAGTTTTTTCATCCGGTCTGGATCTGGTCTGGATCCGCACGCTGCGATGTGAACTGGAGGTCAAAATACCATAGGAATACATTGGACGCAGTTTTGATCTGGTCTGCACCTGCTCTGGTCCGGATCTGCTCCGCGCTTGGTGTGAACAAGGCCTAAGAGCACCAACAAAACACGCCAGACAGTTTGGGGGGGAAATACATTTCAGCTGTTTTGGATAATTTAGCTGACTCCATGTGTTTGTTGAGCCAGTGCTGAAATGTGTGAGGGTCCATTTACACTACATCCAGATCATCTCTAGACCGGACCAGATTGTTTCCGGACCCAAAATGCATCCTAATGTATCCCTATGCTATTTCTGGCCTCTGTTCACACCAGCGCAGTCTGTTCCATACCAGACCAGAAAAATACTGCATGTCTCATTTTGTCTGGTCTAGAATGTACTGGAACTGCGGGCAGGTTCACACCATTTTCCGGACCAGATCTGCTCCGGAAAATGGTGTGAACCTGCCCTTAGGACTACATAACACTGTTATGGAGTTATTATGCAAATACTGTGGCAATATTGAATTGCTTTATACTCCCTGTTTCCTGTTCCTACCTTTGACCTGGATGTAGTTATATAGTTCAACATGATTTCTCAGACTAACAGCTTGCAGTGTCTTCATTTCTATACATGAAACATGGCGTCAGAAGTGACTAGAATCGGAACTGTTTGTTTGGAGCAGAGCCTCTTGTTTGGAGCCTAGCAGCTTTGGGATACAGCACTGTTTTGTGAGTTACGACTTAAGACTGTTCTTTGTGCATTTTCTGATATTTGAGAGCTCAGAGGCATAACCACAATATGGCTGCCATAAATCACATACCCCCCCAACCGAGGAGATGAGAATCAGTGGGGATTGGAGCAGCAACTGGGACACATTCAGAGATGAATTTGAAGATTATTCCCTGGCTACAAAGTAAATGGGAAACCTGCAGCGGTGCAGGCAACAACTCTGAGAAGAGTCATGGGCAGTGAATGCAGGCATGAGTATAAGCACAATCTGCACCTAACGAGAGAGCAGCAAGAGAATGTTACAGGCATTTTGGATGCACTGGAATTCTGCAAACAAGAGGAGGGAGAATCTCTTAATAACTTTGTTACACGCTTGGGAGAAAAGGCGGCAACTTGTGAATATGGTACTCAAAGAGACTAAATAATAATAAGAGCCAAAACTGTTCTCGGTATAGCTAGTGAGAGCACACCGTCGTCTCCTAAGAGAGCGCGACTTAACCTTAAAAACAGCCATTGAAACATGCCATAGAGCAGAGCTCACTGACAGACGTCTGAAAGTTATGGAACAGGACAGACAGCAGACCGACAGCATAAACATTGAAATGCAGCAACACCACATAAGCAAACCCTAGCAACCCTGGGGCAGGAAAAGGTAGCCTTTTGAAGTATCAGTTGCACCAGAGGTGTATTAACGTATACAACATAAACTACCGTGTTTCCCCGAAAATAAGACACTGTCTTATATTTTTTTTGGCACAAAAAACATACTAGGTCTTATTTTCGGGGTAGGTCTTTTTTTTTTTAATGTACAACAATCCACACTTATTTATGTACAACAGTCTACATGTATTCATGTACAAAAATATGGTGATCAGGGGTGTCGTACCTTTCCAAGAGCAATTTGCCAATCAATCGCTGGCCAGAATGAGCGAAGCGCACTTTCACTATCGATTCCTCACAGGTGGAGTGCATTTGGTATCACTCCGCCTGTGACAGGAGCCGGCGCTATAGAGGAGGCATCGGCTTATGCGGCTCTGCTCCCTCCGGTGCTGCCTTGCTTCCGCTAGCACCGGCTTAGTTGGCACCGCTGATTCTCTCCTGCCTCTCCCGCGGCTCTTCAAGTTCTCCCTTATGCCACCACCGGACCTGGGAATGGTCACAACTAGGTCTTATTTTCGGGGTAGGTCTTATTTTCGGGGAAACAAGGTATTGGCTGGACGCTATGGTATTGATACAATAGGTGATGACATCCTTGTGGTTGGCTGTGGGGATACAGATGGAGAAGCAGAGCAAGATTGTGATGGCAAACTGCTGGAATTGATGAATCGTTGTAGGCAGGTAAAACTAAGACTTGGCATGAAAAAACAACAACTCAAGGTCAAAGAGGTCCACTTCCATGGACATATACTATCCTTGGAGTGTTTGAAGGCTGACCCAGAAAAAAATCAGGGCCATATTGGATATGCCACAGCCGCAAATGTGAAATCCCTGCAGCGCATCATTGGATTTGTTACCTACTTAGCAAAATTCCTACGGCGTCTCTCAGAGGTTTGCGAGACGCTGAGAAGGCTTCTGGACAGGGATGCAGTTTGACATTGGCGTCCTAAGCATGATAATGCAGTGCAGGAAATCAAATGTTTGGTCATAGATACACCTGTTCGGAAGTACTATGCTGTTACAAAACCTGTAACAGTTCAAAGTGATGCAAGCAAAAGTGGACTCGGGTGTTGCCTATTGCAAGCTGGCCAGCCGGCTCGATTTTTCTTCAGGGCACTGATCCCTACTGAACAAAACAACGAACAAATCGAAAAGGAATGTTTGAGTATTGTGTTTGCCTGCCAGTGCTTTCATCCCTACCTCTATGGTCATGAGGAGATCATGGCGGAAACTGACCAGAAACCACTTTTGTGTGCACCTAAATGCCTACAGAGCATGTTACTCATGTTACAAAACTATTGCCTAAATGTTGTCCATAAACCTGGACCTGAAATGTACATTAGTGACACTCTTAGCAGATCTACAGCAGCAGGTACACCTGAGTATGCACAACACACAGTTTGCAATGTTTAACAGGACCTGGATGTCCTGTTGCAGATTAATCATTCAGACTATTTAAACATCACAGACCAGCGATTGCTTCAGATAAAACAGCACACAGAAATTCACGAGAGTTTGCAAGCACTTAAATCTGGTTTTCTGAATGGTTGGCCAGATTCAAAGGCGGAGGTGCCATTAATTGTGAGAGAATATTGGACTTTCAGAGACGAAATTGGCATTAAGGATGGCGTACTGTACAAGGGGCCAAGAGTCATTATTCCTATTTAAGATCGGAGATGTTGACACGCATTAATGTCAGTCACATTGGTGGAGGAGTATGCTATAGACAGGCTGGAAATACCCTATACTGGCCAAACATGCAGAATGAGATTAGAGACTTTGTTATCTGTTGCTCAGCATGCAATGAATATGCACAGGCACAACAGAAAGAACCCATGATGTCGCATGTGCTGCCCACCCGGCCTTGGCAAATTGTAAGCATGGATTTACTGAATTATGCTGGGCAAGATTTTCTACTAATTGTTGATTACTACTCTGACTTTTGGGAGATTGAGCTCCTTCCTGACCTGTCTGCCCAATCTACAATCAAGCTTTGTAAAGTACAGTTTGCACGTTATGGCCTGCCGGACAGAGTAATCTCAGATAATGGACCTCGATTTGCATGTGAGCAAGAAGACTTCACTGCCTGTGCCCAACAAATTGCTTGAACCTTGTTTGGTTACAGGTGTACTGGAGAAACTGCAACGGAGGAAAAAGATATCCAAACTTTGTCTGCCAAAGACTTGCCTGTACTAAGCATTGGAGAGCCAATCCGTATGCAGCTGCTCCCTGGTGACAGGACTGGTCGCCGGAGACTGGATACCTGTGCTCAGAGGGTTTCTCCTCGCTCATATCTTATGAATGTGAAGGGCTGTCTCTACCGCCGCAATCGAGTGGACCTGCGAGTGGCAGAACAACTCACCGCAAAAGCCTATGAGCATCCTGCACGTGATTCTCCCGAGGAGCTCAATGCTCCTATTCCTACTGGACCATGTAAGCAAGGCAGAGACAATACTACGGTCATACGTACCTGAAGGATACAATGAGGATGACATAATGCAGCCGCATATACCAGTACGTTTTTCCATGCCAAACAAACCAGCCAAGAAAGAGGAAACAATCGGGTTTCAAGACCACCAGATAGACCCAATCTGTAGTGTATCTACCCAGATAGACTCAGTCTGTAGTGTATCTAGCAGTTACACAGTATGTTATGTTTAAGACTGTTCAGGATCTGTTTTAGGTTGTTTAAAAATGTTTTGGATTGAATGTATAAAAGGGGAGATGTTATGGAGTTATTATGCAAATACTGTGACTCTATTTACTTATGGTAATATTGCATTGCTTTATACTTCCTGTTTTCTGTTTCTACCTTTTGACCTGGATGTAGTTATATAGTTATTATTATGATTATTAATAATAATAATAATATTATTATGATAATACAGGATTTATATAGCGCCAACAGTTTGCGCAGCGCTTTACAATATAAGGAAGACATTACAATTCAAGACAAGATGGTAAGGAGGGCTCTACCCGTGAGGGCTCACAATCTAAAAGAGAGGGGCAAGTGATACATGAGGAGGTAGCTGTGTGGGGATGAATGTAGTTCAACATGACTCCTCAGCTTGCAATGTCTTCATTTCTATACAGGAAACAAATACCCCCTCTCTCTTCGTTTCCATAACATAGAGCAAGGGTAGGCAAACTCCGGCCTTCCAACTGTGGTGAAACTACAAATCCCAACATGCATTTGTCTCTGGTCTTGCTGTTGGCTGTTGGAGTCTTAAAATGCCTCATGGGATTTATAGTTGCACCACAACTGGGAAACAAACTAGAGTATGCCTACCCCTGACACCAGGATGTGTTCTTTAGTCCTAACTCACTTTTTGATAACACTATTTTATATAACACTACAGTACAAACAGGACACAGGACATCACTGCATTTATTATTGGACACATATAAGACACACTTTAAATGGTATATTCAACAGACCAATAAGAGAAGTCAATTGTTCGGGTTTAAATACACTTTAAGAGTTCAATAAAACAGTCCATCATGATTGATCAAAACAAAAATGACCAAGCAAAATTACATTGTTATTGTTGTCATTAATATTTCTTAACTAGGAGACAAAGTAGCACGGCACTTATGTTATACATAAATATACATTCAAGGAGCAAGAGATTGTTGTCTAGCAGATTGTGAAGTCTTGCAAAAAAAATTTACATAAGGTTTTCTCTACTTTCTTTCAGTTATGCTCTATCTTGAAAACGGACCTGATTCCAGACATTGAATCTCTTCCAACTCTCTATGAGGCTTTGTCTATATTCCTTCTACTTCCAGAATTCCCCATAATGTATGATGTGAACATCTGCTTACCATTAGTAGCCCCTTTTGCCTATGCTGTCAACAATCTCAGCAAAAATGCCCTGAAAATGTTGGGTAAGTTCTATATGAAGGTTATTATAAACAACCTCTAGCAATTTTGTTCTACATAAAAATGTCAAACGAGCCATTAGTTACAGTTATGGCAACGTTTTTTTCCGCAAAATCATATTGGTTTGAATAGTCAAGGTTAAACAATACAGTAATCAATAAACAATCCAGACACATTGAGATTGGTTATATACAGTGCTAAGATCTTGAGCATTGGAGGTTTGATCACTCTTGCCAACATTCTTGCCTTGTTCCTGTTTCTTCCAGCAATATGATTAAGTAGCTAAAGGACTAGACACCCACTATTGGCATTCCAAATTTGGGTGGGCACACTTTGAATCACATGCTAACTTCTTACATCACTTAGAGACTCGCCACAGAATTTTGTAAACATGTGCGATTCGTTTCGTTCCTAATTGAAATTTGTATGAATTTTGGCATATTCGGATACTTCCAAATTTCCAAAATAACAAATCTGAACGTATCCAAATTTTTTTATTACGAAAATTTCAGATGCATCCGAAATTTTTCCCCGAATGTCATTCTGAATGAATTTATGTTGTTAAACGTTAAAAGAAAAAAATAGCATGCAGTCCCCTCCCCAAATCATACCAGAACCTTTAGGTCTAGTAGGAATTTTAGGGGGGACCCCAAAGTTTTGGGTCCCCCATAAAAACCCTTACCTGTCCCTTGATAATGAGCAGCAGCCTGGTAGAGCAGGAAAGGGGGTGGACGAGCGTGACCCCCACCGCAACATACCAGGCCACATGCCCTCAACATGGGGAGGGTGGTTTGCGATTGATATGGATCTACATTGCTGGACGATGTGATTGACGTTTGGATTACATTGATGGACATTTTTTCTTTTAAATAAAAGACTTGTCAAAAACCTGTGTTTTTTTTTTCTCCAAATAAAGGGCACCCAGATTTAGATAAGCCCCCCTGCCCACATACCCACACAACCACTGGGCCAGGGTTGTGGAGAAAAGGCCCTTGTCCTCATTGACATAAGGACAAGGTGCTTTGCCAGGGGGTCCATGTTGAGGGCATGTGGCCTGGTTGGTTGCACATGTGCCTGGTTCCTGCTCTGCCAGCTGCTGCTCGGATCAAGGGTCGAGTAAAGGATTTTATGGGGGACACAATGCTTTTCTATTTGGGGCGTTGGGATCCCCCCTAAAATTCCTACCAGACCTAGAGGGTCTGGTATGAATTAGGGGCAGGGGAGCCGTACATTGGTTTTTTTATTGTTTCTGTGGACTGTCAAGTTAAAAAGAAAAATACCATTTTTTTTTTCTAATGTCACTTTGCTGCAGTGAAAATTAGTTAATAAATATAATTGAATTCATCCAAATCCTGAAAAAAAAAATAGCAAAAAATCAAAAATTAACCGAACCAATTTTTTTGCTGGCGCACCTGTCTAGTGTTTTGTGTCCGTCTCTTCCACAAACTTGTAAACATCATATTTAACTATTTTAGAAGGACCGTCATGGAAAGAAAGATTTATGCTCAATTAGGTATGCAGGCAGTAACATTAGAAACATCAGTGCTTATCTAAATTGGATAAATTGATGTACAGTGAAAGAAACCTGGTAAATAATTGATTTTATAAAGAGTACATAGTGTTAAAAAAATGTATAAAAACATTTGTAAATTGTTTTCCAGGAGCTTGTAATAAGTCACCATGAGCCCGTTACCTGTTACAATAATCTGACACTTCTGTGTTGTGCAAGCCACCCATCCTCCTGTATACCCTGGCTAAGTGTTCAGACATGAAATCTGTTATTGCCCTAATTACTTTGGTGGTAAAATTAAATGCCCCCCTTATATTTGTATTTGTAGTCAGTGTAAATACATTGGTGGTCAGTGTAAATGTCCTCCATTACATTGGTGGTCAGTGTAAATGCTCCTATTACAATAATGATCATCGTAAATGCCCCTTATACATTGGTGGTCAGTGTAAATATTGCTACATTTAGGGCCACTGTAAATGCCCCCGTTACATTGGTGTTCACCGTAATTGGTGGTCAATGTAAATACCCCTAGTACATTGGAGCTCAGAGTGAATGCCCACATTATATTCATGGTAATGTAAATGCCCCCTCTACATTGATAGTCAGAATAAATGTCTGTTACACTGGCAGTCAGTGTGGATGCCCCCATTACACTAATGATCATCGTAAATGCCCCCTATACATTGGTGTAAATACTGTTAAGTGGGGGGGGGGGGGGGAGGAC